ACTTTTAAAAAACAAAGGAGATTTCTAATTCTAATTTATATTATCATAAAACATTACTATAAATAATTTAAGTATCTGTTGGGGAGTTAACATATAAATACACTTCAGAAGAATGTAATGCTATGTAAGAGGAGTTTTAAAAAGACTGTTTAGTATTATAAGAGATAGAAGGACCACTAATCAAGACCATGCAAAGCAACTTAGCTTCAGTTCATCAGCAGAGAACCCTATCCAGCCTGCTGTGGGGGGAGAGGATCTCTCTAGCCTTCAAGAACCAATATGTGGTTCCTAAAATCTCAGAAAAAAAAGCAATAATAGGGAGATCCTAAAATTCCAGAGACAGAAGGTAGGAGCTATTGCCTCACATGTGCTGGCACTGTTCTGGCCCAAGCCAAGCTGCTCAGCTTGAGCTCATGAGCAGGAAACCCCATGCACACTGATGTGGGGAGGAGGGGTGCCACACAAAGTTGTTTACCACCTTACATTCTACCTGTCAGCTTAACCTCCATCCACATGGGGAGCAGTTCGATTTGGATATACAAGAACCCAATACCTGAAAATAAAAGACTCTAGAAGAACTATTCCACCATAAACTCTCTAAGCAATAAAAAGAGAGAAACTCCCCTTTGAAAACCTGAACCCAAAACTCCTACTCTGGATTCCACACTCCCACCCAGAGTAGCAGAGGGAAACTGGCATAGAGTTTTCACATATCATAGAGAAGTACAGAAGCACACAGTTATAGAAACATACCCCAAAGATATAGGAAGTGACTAAAAATCAAAGCAGATGACTAAAAGTCAAAGCAGAGCCCCCCGAAAATCATGAAAAATTTAGGAAATATCTCTCCCTAAAAAAATCAGAACTTCTCACCAACAATAGAAAAGACACATGAGATCACAGAAATGTAAGAATGAGAATTCAGATTATTCATTGTAAAAAAAACTGAAAGAGTTGCAAGAGAAAACAAACAACTAATTCCAGGAGGTGAGAAAATCCTTCCATGACTTGAAGGAGGAACTCCATAAAGATATAGACACACTGAAAAAGAATCAAATAGAATTTCTTGAGATAAAAAAATACAGGAAATCAAAATCTCCCTTGAAAGTATCAACAGCAGATTAGACCACACAGGAGAAAGAATATCTGACCTTGAAGAAAAAACCTTCCATTCAGTACAAGCAACAAAAAAGAATAGAAGAATAACTATTTAAATGGGTACAATACACAGGAAATCCTAGATGTCATTAAACAGACGAGTAGCCATGTAATAAGTATCCCAGAAGGTGAAGAGATAGGTAAAAGTATAGAAAATATCTTTCATACTATATTAGCTGAAAACTTTCCAAATTTAGAGAGGCATGCAGACATCCAAACTGAAAATATATAAGGGACATCAAATAGAGATAATATAAGAAGTTCCTCTCCAAAGTATATCACAGACAATTTAGTAAAAATCAAAGACAAAAAATAAAAAAATCAAAGACAATATTCTAAAAATGGCAAGAGAGAAATGCCAAGTTACATACATATATTACTCCATTATACTAACATTGGATCTCTCAACTGAAACAATGCAGGCAAGTAAAAAAAAAAAGAAAACATATTTAAAACTTTTAAAGAGAAGTGATGTCAGCCAAGAGTACCATACCCAGCAAGATTATCCTTCAAATGGAAAAGAGAAATAAAATTATCCCCAGATAAATAAATGCTGAAAGAATTCACCAGAATGAAACCAGCTTGTCAGGAAATACTTAATGAACTATTACACCAGAAAAACTAAAGGGAGACAAATAGAAGTAAGAGAACACAAAATGACTAGGAAAAAAAAAGGCTAAGTCCACACTTATTTTAATAAAAAGTTGTCTATATTATCAATAATATAGTTATTTATTAATGTGAGTTTTTCTAAAGAAAACTATGTTTTACACATAAAAAAGATTATCTAAGAATGGAATTAAAGTTTGAGTTTATTTTGCTTAAAAAAAAAAAAAACCCTGAAATCCATTCAACGATATTGGATCTCTCAACTGAAACAATGCAGGCAAGTAAAAAAAAAAAGAAAACATATTTAAAACTTTTAAAGAGAAGTGATGTCAGCCAAGAGTACCATACCCAGCAAGATTATCCTTCAAATGGAAAAGAGAAATAAAATTATCCCCAGATAAATAAATGCTGAAAGAATTCACCAGAATGAAACCAGCTTGTCAGGAAATACTTAATGAACTATTACACCAGAAAAACTAAAGGGAGACAAATAGAAGTAAGAGAACACAAAATGACTAGGAAAAAAAAAGGCTAAGTCCACACTTATTTTAATAAAAAGTTGTCTATATTATCAATAATATAGTTATTTATTAATGTGAGTTTTTCTAAAGAAAACTATGTTTTACACATAAAAAAGATTATCTAAGAATGGAATTAAAGTTTGAGTTTATTTTGCTTAAAAAAAAAAAAACCCTGAAATCCATTCAACGATAATACTAATTTTCCATGAACTTTTTGAAGACCTCACATGTGTCTGTGTCTAACAATGGATGAACTTTGAATTTCTGATAAAGTTCACTCAAGAATAGAAACAGTTTTGTAGTCTTTTGAAATCCATGAAGCCTATATACCTCTTAAGAGAATCATATTAGAAAGAAAGAGATAAATTAACACTGGTCTTTGATATACCAAAAGAATCCTTTTCTAGAATTTTTGCAAAGCTTTACAAGGAAAACTATAGTAATCACTAATCCAAAACGCCTATAACTCCTCTATTTTACTAATTATGTTACAACTGAAAATAACTACTTGCTATCATGAAACCTGGTTAAATCCAACTGTTTTCCAATTTCATCCCTATACCAAGAAGCTAAATGTGGCTAACAGAAAATACAGCTAGGATGCCTAGCATCACTTTAAATGCATGTCTATGAATCTCAACTGTCTTCTCAGTGCTGTCTGACAATTCAAACATACCCTGAAGTTAATTCACACTCCTCATCTGCTCAAACATTAATACCATCTATCCCCTCATCATTCTCAGCAGCTGACCTTGTTTTCTACGTCACTGAGAAAGTCATCAGATAAGGACCTCCAAGGTTCTCATCTACATTCTCGTTGTACCCATTGACATGCATCTGTATCTACACACTCTGTCTTCCCTCTAGTTTTCATGAATAAATAGTACAAGCTTCTTCTCATGCAACTGATACCATTCTCTTATTTGGTCAAACATTTTACTCTAGCACTCTCTCTTTATTATAGCAATAGCTCCCTCTGTACTGTACCATTTTCATTGTTATACAAACACATTGTCATTTCTACATTTAAAATAAATAAGTAACAAGACCAGCAGGTGGTGTGGATGTTAAGACAGCTGTGTCCCACATGGCAGAGTCTCAGACCTGGTGACTTGAAAAACACTCCAAGCATATGTGTGTCTGTGCTCAAAATGCAGAGAGGAGAATGGAGAAGGGATTGTGGCATGACCATCCCTCCCTGGGGCAGTGATTTCTCACTTTCCCTCTCTCTGTCTGTCTCTCTCCAGTTTGTGTACATACCTTACAGCAAAAGTGAAAAAAAAAAAAAAAAAAGTCAGTGAGGGAGTGGGAGGGAGCCATAGCTGCACGGTTAAGGGAGTCAGATCACACATGACTAACCACAGTTCAAATTCCAGCCCCGGTGGCTTGGAAAACACACTGAGTGCTTATGCATGCCCCAAATTTTAACAGGATGGAAAAAAGGAGGAGGGGTTGTGGCATAACCACACCTGACTGGGGCATGCTTTTTTCCTCTCCCTTTCTCTGGCAAATGTATTCGTTCTCTAGCAGTTAAAAAAAAAAAAATAGTCTTAGAAGAAAAAAAAAATCTTGAGCTTACATCAACCTCCACTTCCCTCTTCTCTGTTATCACAAAGGACCTCAAAACAGTTGTCTATACCTCTTATCCCAAATTTCTCTTTTCCCATTTTTTTCTTGAGTCCAAGAAGCTTTTGCCCCAATGCTTCACCAAAACCACTTAGTCAAAGTTAACAATACCCTCTACATAGGATAATTCAGTGGTTAATTCTCAGAATTAATCTTTCACAATTTACACCAGCATAATTTTATGCAGCTAATCACACTTTCCCCTCTCACCTTCTTCACATGACTTCCAAGACACCTGGCTTCCCAGACACCACACTGCTCCTTCTGTCTCACTAATTATGCATTCTCTTTGCCCTTCCTGGTTATTCCTCATTACTTTGACCTCTTAATGTTGGAAGGACCCAAGATTCAGCCACCTCTCTTTTCTCTCCCCAAGTAATCACATCCATTTTGGCATTAAATACCATTTATTCACTGATGACTCACTAATTTATATCTCTAGTTTAGAAAACTTCTTGAGTTACAAACTCTAATGTCTCTCATTCTTTGTCAGCACTTCCATCTGGTTATATTGTGGGCACCTTAACACATCTAATAATGATAATAATAATAATAATAAATTGATCTCTACTCATATGGCTGACATTACAAGTGTTCACCAATACTCAGTTCTCCTCTCCTTCAGGGCACATGAATGATAACATATAGTAAGGTCACACAACTTGTTCAAACCTGACCTACTTTATCCATTTTTATGACATCTTCACTTGCCCTTAAATACACTGAACCTTCTACCACCAGTTTGGTTTGTTACGAATTCCTTAGAAACTAAAGAATGGTAGTAGAAAGTATCCTCAGTATCTGAGTCTTGGATGGAATGTCCCCTTCCTTGGACTCCTCTTGTCTTTTGTCTCCTAGTTTCTTCCTGAGGTGAAAAAAAAAATCACCATCTCTACTTCATTCATTTCCCTTGTTCTTCTCTTTGAAATCCTAAATTCCACTATTATCATCAATTTTAACATCATCCTAATACATGAATACTTCTTTCATAAGCTGCTATGGTTCTGAGTTTTCTGCAACATACTCCTTCAAAATAAAAGCCCAGCACACATTTGTGTTTAAATAAAGTGAGGCCCCATGACTCACCTCATTTCCACCAACTGCCTTGGTTAAAATCACTGCAGAAGACACGGGGGGAGGCATGCAACCTACTGTCTGCAAACTGAAAAATAAGAGAAAATCCGATCATAAATAGGGTTCTATTTTTTCAATTATAAATAGCTTTCACTATATTCATTTTCACATAGTAGAGCTGTGCAAATGAGTATAGGAGATCATTTACGAATGGCCTGTGTGAGGCAACAAGGTTTACAAGATTCTGAACAGTTTCTAAACTCTTATTCTATTCCATAGGCTAAGATGATTTTATTTTTTAAGTTATTTAAGTTCTAATTTTACAATTCAAAAAAACAGTCAAATTATAATGAGTGCAATCATTGAAAGATAATCAAAATATCTAATCATTTGGAAAAATGTATATAATCTTGGGTTATTTTTAACAAAGTAAAAATTTTCCTTACACTTTTTGTAGGACATCTTTTCGTTAAAAATGTAGCTTCAGAACCACAACCAAAGTTCAAAATATTTAATTAAGCACTAGCTTATATTTTTGTATTTCTTTCTACAACACAGCAGTTCTCAAACTTTCATCTCCTAAAATACGTTTCCATTATAGAGATAAGCATGACATAATCATATACTTCTTGGATTCAAACTGTGCAGTAAATTATAATATCTCTAGTATTGTAGTAACTCCTCAATATTTGTTTTTTTATTAAATTATGTGTATTCTCCAAGAACTCCATTCTCCTAGCCTAAAATACAAAATAAATTGCATGGCAAGCAAGTAAAACTAAGAATAGTAAATTTAAATAATAAAAATTAAATATATATATATATATTATTCATAATTCATATAGAACATACATTCTGGGAATAGCAAGTAGCCAGCCTACATGAGAAGTTCATATAGGGTTGGAGGACACATAGTGACTGACTTAAGCAGATTTTGAATAGGTATGATTACAGATGATTTTTATTCATTTTTGTAAGAGAGTATTCTCTAAACTTGGGAATTTACATTAACTCTGAAATTAAAAAAGAAAGCTAAACTGTTTTAATTCATTTGTATTGAAACATAAGAAAACATGTTTTGTGGAATTTCTAGTTCAATTCAGTTAGATGTAGTCTTCAGGTCTCTTTTTCCAATAGATGCTAAAATAGTCTGTCCTACGATGAATTCCCAATTTCTCAGCCTTCCTATGCCAATGAAACTGTTTTTTCCCCCTAAAGATCCAGTTCGAAATTTTGGAGTTACATATGACTCCACTTTCTCCTCATAAATCAATCAGTCCTCACAATCAACTTCTCATTTTTTTTTTTCCCATGACTTACTGTCGCAACCCCTGTTTAGGTGCTTTTCACCCAAGTCTGGACACTTACAAATCCATTATCATCATCAATAACAGCTACTGAGCAGCTTCCATTTGCAGTAGATACCATGCCAGACACTTAATATGCACTATCTCATTTATTCCTCACAAATATCTAAGATAAATACTATTGTCATTTTTTTTTATTTTATCAAAAACTGAAGTAAAGAAAGAAATCAAATAACTTGACCAAACTCACAAAGCCAAATTAAATGCCTCTGGGGTTAAACATTTATTTTGACATCCAGGGCTTCCATTCTCTCTACCTTCTAGCTTTCCTAACATTAGTAATAGGGACAGGTTCATTCAGATACATTCAATCTTTCTAATTTTTTCAACCTTTCTCTTTCTTCTGGTCCCTTCCCTTCTATGTATAAAAATGTGAAATTGTCCCTACCTTAGAAACAAAAAAATCACTAAACTATATATTGAATATATATATGCCTTATAGATAGGATACTACATAAGGGTATATTAGAAAAAAGAGATTATTCCTGCCTTCAAGGAGGTAGAAGATTCAATCAACACACAAATGTAGTAAATATTTTTGCTGTTGCAAAATTAATACTGTTGCCTCCTCAAGATGCAGTCCTACTGTTTTCACTGTGACTCATTGTTGATCTTCTTTATAAAGTGCTCCACCTCTATGACCCTATAAATAATCTTCTCTACTCCTCTGGAATGGGATTTCTGCCCTCCCTACAAGTAAAAGTAGTAGCCTTAAAAATAACTTTTGGTCACCAACTCCAATAGCCTTTTCCCCAAATTCATTCTATTTGCTTCTCAGGATACTCTGTTTCCTTGGTTACATCATATTTTATCATTCTAATTTATCACATATCTTTTAAACCAGCCCATTTTGGGGTTTTGCTAGCTTTTCTGCCCTCTGGTCAATCTTATTTTCTATCTGTAAAGTCTTTTAAAATTAACATTTCTAGCCCTAACTACCATTCCCAAATGTAGCTGTCTATAACTGGCACCTCAAACTACACATGCCTAATATTTCATTTCTACATTTTTCTTCTCTCTAGCTTTATTGCAGTATAACTGGCAAACATACCTTATATACATATATTTACTGTATATACCATATTGTTTCAATTTGTATATGCCATAAACGATTACCACAATCAAGCTAATACATCCGTCTTATCTGGTAATAAATAATCTCATATGTGTGTGTGTGTATATGTGTGTGTGGGGTGAGAATATTTAAGATCTACTTTCTTAGCAATTTCCAAGTATAAAATATCCTGCATCAGGGACCAGCAGTTAGCATTATGGCTATGTCACTGGACTCCCATGTAGTCAACTGCGGTTCGAGTCCCGGACCCGGTGGCTTAAACTCACGCCGGGTGCGTGTGCGTGTATGCCCAAGATCCCGAGAGGACAATGGAGGAGAAGGGATTGTGGTGTGGCCATCCCCCCTGGGGGGTGATTTCTCGCTTTCTGTCTCTCTGTCTCTATCTTTCTGGCACATGCACCCTATAGCAAAAAAATCTCTCTAAAAAAAGGGAAAAAAATCATGCATCATTATTAACTATAGTCACCAGCTGTATAATAGGTCACCAGGATGAATTTGTATATTTTCTAAATGTGCCCTGTGAATTTGCCTATTTCTGTCAATGCAACTGTGATTTCCCCTCTAATGATCCAGTTTGAAACTCTGGAGTTATAAATGACTCTACTTCTTCCTCAAAAATCAGTCACCACAATCAACTTTCCGTTCTTTTTCATGACTTACTGTCACAAGCCCTGTTCAGGAGCTTCTGGTCCAAGTGTGGGCCCTGCCAGGTGAATGCTCTATCTAGCTCCACCGTGCCTTGAACACAGCAATCTAAAGAGTGTGTGATCGGAATCTCTTTACCACCGTTAAACATGATTCTAAAGTAAGAGTTGCCAATGCCAACAAGTTAGCATAGTAAATGTGTACTCTCAAATTCACGAGAGGAGGGGAGAAAAAGCTCTGTCCAGCTAAGTTAGGGAACGTGTATACTTTTTTAACCTCCTAAGATGAGAATTGTACACCTGTTTTATTTAGTGGACTAAGATTGCAACACAGCTCTTTTAATAGCAAATCCAGTGCAAGACCGTTCAGATTAACCTCCCTTAATTGATCATCTTTTAACATGTTCCCTTGTTTAGGACTCTGGAGAGCTTTCTTTCCCCATCATCTATAACTTCAAATGCAAACTCCTCAGCCCAGTAGTTCAGGCCTTCTGCAAGAAATGTTTTCTCTTGGACTCCCAGTAAAGTCCCATTTTTTTCTCTCTCTATAGTAGACATACCCAGCCCTTACTGGACTGCTTATTTTTTAACAGATTATACCATGCATCCTACAAATCACATGTTGCCTCATTTTGATTGGTTAATATCTTTAACATTGGAAGTTCCCTGATGACAATGAAAATGAGTTCATTAATATCTTCCTATTTTAGGGCCGGCAAGTAGAGTGATGATTAAGGTGCTGGACTCCCACATGGTTGACTGTGGTTCAAGTCCTGAATCTGGTGGCTTGCTTTCTCACTTTCCCTCTCTCTCTTTCTTCCTGTCTCTCTCTGGTGGGAGCACATGCCCTATAGCAAATTTAATATTAATTAATTAATTCATTCATTCATCAAAAAAAACCTTCTGGGGCCGGTAGGTAGCATGGTGGTTAAAGGCGCTGGATTTCCACATGGCCGGCTATTGTTTTGAGTCCCAGACCTGGTGACTCGCTTTCTCACTTTCTCTCTCTTACTCACTCTCTCTCTCTCTCTCTGTCTCTCTGTGGTCAAATTAAAATAACAACAATAACAACAACAACAACAATAATAATAAATGGAAATAAATAAATAAATAATTCTTATTAAAAAAATCTTCCTATTCTTTGAGGACCCTGCACATGGCAAATATTCAGTAACCATTGGTTAGTAATATGCATAATGCATTTGTACCTTAAAATGGTGTCGCCATATATAAATGTGACATTTTATGCTTTTCAGCAAAATTTGGTGTTCATTCTCTCAATCTAAAATCTGGCCAAAACAGCATTCCTGATCGGTCCCTCTTCTAACCTGTGTCTGCCAATTACAATGCCGTCAATTATCCCTAAAAAACAAGAAGTGGTTCCTTTTTGTGTTTCCTTGGTTCCTTTTTTGTCCTTATTCTCATCCTCTCCACTCACAGGTTCTGAGAAGGCTAACATTCAAAGCTACATTACATGCATCCGTTTCCCTCTGTTACACTGCTCCCTCACCATGCCAGTCTCCAAGTTGATCTCGGTTCTCTCAGAACCCTCTCCTATCTGTGCTCCACACAGCAGCCACAAGAACCATTTACAAATATAAATTATGTGTTATCACTCCCTCGTTTCAACCCCTCCACTAGCTTCCTGTAGCATTCAGAATAAAGTGTGAATCCTTTACCATGGCTACAAGGCCTATGACTGGGCTACTGCTGACCTTTCCACATCCGAGTCATATTATTCTTCTAAATCACCAGGGTCTGCCCATCCTGCTTTCCTTCTGACCCTACAACGCATCAAGCTTGTTCTTGTCCTCTAGCCTTTGTACATTCTGTTTCCTTTGCCTAGAACATTCAGCCCCTAGAACTGCAATGTAAATCAATCACCAGTCTGCCCACCCACCACTTTCAACATTAGCTCCGTAATATTCTTTTCACATTACTCATCTCTGATTGCTCATCTATTTACTTGTTTATTGATAATCACACCCCTTAAGTCTCCCCAACATGCAAAGCTAACCAGCACTTTGCCAGTGTTCTTCACTGTTGTTTCTCCAAACCCAACGATTATGTCTAGGACAGAGCAGATGCTAAGTAAATAAGCAATCTCAGTCACATCATTATTAAGTAGGCAGTAAAGGATAATTATCCTCATCTTACAAACATGAAAATTTAAGTTCAAAACTATTAAATGACTGCTCCAAGTCTCATAGAACATCAGGGACAAGGTCAGAATTCAGTCTTCAGGCTGTAGGTTCAGTGTTTCAGCTATTATACCATAATGCCAAGATGTGGCTAGTTTTAGACCACTTCAAATAATTTTTTAATTGTTAAGTCCTTTTAGTAAGCATGGAAATATTTTTATTACTTTTTTAATTGCTGGAAGTGCAGGAAGTACCCATTAAGAGATGAGACAGAGAAAGAGAGAGAGAGATACCATTCCCTAATGGGGTGTGGTCACACCACAATCCCTTCTCCATTTTGCTTTCCTGTTGGGATTTGGGGCACACATGCACATGTACCTGGTGTGTTTTTCAAGCAACCAAGACCACAGTGTGAGCTACCATCAAACACATGAGATTAACCATTAAGCTACGGGGCTGGCCCATCATAGCAACATTTTTCACGAAAAAGAAAAAAAAGACTCTCGGAAAAATCTACTATTAGCTATTACATTAAACATAAAATTCAATAAGTAAAAAAGTAAATGTCCCACATAAGTGATTTTTTCTTTCTTATACACTTTTACAAACGTATTATACTCAGCCATTATTGTACATATTTGGTAAGAAATATTGTAGAATGCGAAGTTAAAGTATCCATTGACCATCCATTATACATATACATAGAGATCCTACATCCTCTAGTTCCTCCTAGTCTTCTCTCAAGACCACTCTTGAAAAACACCAGACAGGTATCCATTCTAGAACCTTAAGATTAAGCATGGAGGTATGTTTTAAGATCCTGCTAAACAACTCTCATATGAATCTCTTTGAGGAAACATTATTGTTTCAAATGATAGTAAAATCTACCCCATACATGGGACCAGCGGGTAGTATGGTGGGCAAGGTGCTGGACTCCCACATGCCCACTTTACATTTCAAGTCGTAGGTGGGGCTTGAAACTCAGGTGCATGTGTGTGCATGCCCAAAAACTCCAGAGGAGACTGAAAGAGAAGGTACTGTGGGATGGCCATCAACCCAGGGGACGATGTCCCACTTTTCCTTTCTCCATCTGTCTTTTTTTCAGCGAACACACACACCCTATGGCGAAAACCCTAAAACACAAAACCTATCCTACACACATCCATGGCTCTCTGTTGCACTGCAGAATTAGTAGTATTTTTATTAATCTCCTTACAAGATAGCATATATAGCCCTTTTGTATATATAGGGACAATAATGTCACTAGAGATGTCCCAGTAGAATTAGAATGTTCAAAAGACCTGAACATACCCCTTTAAAAGCCATTCATTGATGGGCGTGATTGATAAAAGCTGGAGGAAAAGCCATATTGCTGCTGGGAAGAATGCAAGTGTAAAGATCTGAATAAACAGATGCAGCCTTAGATGCACCAGAGCACTGGTCAGCTCCTGGAAAAACAGAGGACACAAAATAAACAAATTTCAGAAAACTATTGCTGAATACAAATTGCTATTCCAATAACGACATATGTTCGTTTTTAATTTTGTGGTATTTCATAGACAACATTTTTATCTACAAATATATACATAAAAGACAAACTTAAAGAGAAAAAAGTAAGTCATGATGATTACAAAATATTTCAATATGAAATTTCTGAACTAATCTGATTTCATTGACGTACACGATATACCGTAACAATTCAGATTTGTAAAATTTCTGAACAGGCCTAAGCTATACATTAAAAAAAAAAAAAAATTTAAAAAACAAAATTAGCAGGATCTATCACATTTTAATTAAGTATATGGCATCTTCAAAAAGTTTGTGGAAAATATGGATTGTGATAAAACTATACATGGATTTCAAATTTCTTTTTTTTTACCAGTATAAACTTTTACTTTAATTTCATAATAATTAATTTCTATTCAGGTCAGTGGGTGGCATGGTGATTAGGGCACTGGACTCCCACATGGCCAACCACAGTTCAAGTCCCAGACCTGGCGGCTAGCTTTCTCACTCTCTCCCTCTGTCTTTCTCTGTCTTTCTCTGATGAACACGTGTACCCTACAGCAAGTTGAACATTAATGACAATAAATAAAATAAAATAAATAATTCCTTAAAAATAATAATTCCTTAAAAATAACAATTAATCTTTATTTATTATGCCAAACTGATAAGGCCTCAATTTGGTAAGATGTTTCCGAATCCACAAATATTTCTTTAAAATGTTTTCCTTGATGACAGTCTAATTCAAAACAGCTTTCCCTAGACCCAATCTACTCACTAGCTTTCTTTGTTAACATTTACTGAACACCAGCTCTACGCCACATCTGAGCTTGTAACTTTACATTGTTATCACATTTAATTCTCACAAGAAACCTGCTAGGTAATTATCATGATCCCCAGTCTACTGTTAAGGGAATTGAGGCTGAAAGCTACACTACGGTGGAGAACAGAATCAAATCTGTAGCAATGCTATCAAACCCATGCCTGCTTTTTCCATTGTCCCACACGGGTGCCCCAAATTGGAAAACACTGCATTCTAAGCATGAAAAACTAGGCAAATGCTATGAGTCTCATGAATGAAAAAAGATGACTAGTTCACCCCTGGGGTTTAAAAATATATAAACTAACACTTACATTTGAATTTGTGTTATGAGATTATTCAATTGGAATAAAATAAATTCTGAAACTTATAGAAGTATAGTCCTTTATAATAAGCAAGTAATTATTAAAGTATAATAAGCAAGTAATCATTAAAGTCTATTCAAAGATGCCAGAGATTCACTGATTATAAACACAGAAGAGTAATGACTCTTTTGTTCAAGTAAGATGATTAAGAGAGTCTCAGCCTCAGAGACTTTAGCCAAAGTTTTTTGTTTTTTTCTTTTCTTTTTTTTTTCTTTTTTTTTTTTTATAGAGATTTTTGCTATAGGGCGTGTTTGCTTGCCAGAGAGACAAAGAAAAACAGAAAGAGAAAAAGTGAGAAATCACCCCCCAGAGGGAATGACCACACCTCAATCCCTTCTCCTCCACCCTCCTCTTGGGATCTCAAGCATGCACACACACATGTCCGGTATGGTTTTTAAGCCACCAGTCTGGGACGTGAACCACGATTGATTACATGGGAGTCCAGCGACATAACCATTATGCCATCTGCTGGTCCCAGTTTATCAGTTTAATAAATGATAGGTCAATGTGGATCCATCCATTGATGGCTGGGTTCTGAGATTTGTCCCATCAGCTCCCACTATATGTCTCCCTTTGTGAAGACACACAGCAGTTCTTGTTCAGTCAAGGGACATCCCTAATGACATCCCTAATGACATCTAGGTCTAACTTAGCGCCATCAAGAAACAGTAGGCCTACCACTACTGGGAACCTCAGTAGGTCCTTGGATTAGAACTAAGAGAAGACAAGCCACCCTTCCTGTGAATCGGAATTTTTAAATCAAGGCGTTAGCATATATTTCTTTTTTTAAAGAATTATTAATTTAATTTAATTTAGTTTATTTAAAAAATTTGACCAGAGAAAGAGAGCAGGGGAGAAGGACAGTGAGAAAGTAAGCTACCAGGTCTCGGATTGAACTACAAGCAGCCATGTGGGAGTACAAGGCCTTAAGATATGCCACCTAACAGCCCCACATACATTTCTGACAGGAATTTGAAGACCATATAGCCTTTCTGAAAAGCAATTTGGGATTACCTATCAAGAACTACAATCCAATTCACATTCTCAGATCCCAAAATTTTTTGTCCAGACATTGATCCTAAGGATATAATACGGGGACTAGCAGTTAGTGTAATGGCTGTCGCTGAACTCTCATGTAGTCAACCACAGTTCAAGTCTCAGACTCAGTGGTTTAAACTCATGCCAGGCAAGTGTGCATGCATGCCTAAGATCCCAAGAGGAGAATTGAGGAGAAGGAATTGCAGTGTGGCCATCCCCCCAGGGGGTGATTTATCATTATCTATCTCTCCATCTCTCTGTCTCTGTCTTACTGGTGAGCGCACACACCCTATAGCAAAAAACCTCTCCAAAAAAAAAGTATATAATCCATGGTTACAAACATTTATATACAGAATGGCTCATGGCACTTTTCTATTAGCATAAACTCTAGAAACAACTTACATGCCCCCTAAATGGGAAAATAAGTAAATAAATTCAAGTATTATCAGAGTACCATGAGTTATTAAAAACTGTGTCAATGAGGATGTGGAAGAATAGGATCTCCTGACCAGCAGTTAAAGTAATGGCTATGTCGCTGGACTCCCACGTAGTTGACTGTGGTTTGCGTCCCGGACCCGGTGGCTTAAAACTCACGCCAGGCGCGTGTGTGTGCGTGCCCAAGATTCCAAGAGGAGAATGGAGGAGAAGGGATTGCAGCGTGACCATCCCCCCTGGGGGGTGATTTCTCACTTTCTGTCTCTCTGTCTCTCTGGCAAGCACATGTACCCTATGGCAAAAACCTCTAAAAAATAAAAATAAAAAAAATAAAATAAAATAAAAAATAAAAAATAAAACACATAGAATAGGATCTCTCCCAGCTTTATCACCAGAATCGTAAATGGGCCCAACCCATAGAGGGAAATCTGGTAGCTCATTCCTTCATTCAAGAATTACTTGCCCCTGGCACCATATCTGGTCCTTGGAACAGCCATCACAGCTCATACTGCACTATCATCTGATCTACCAAGTCTGCCTCTGGGAACTTATCCTTCACACATATTCCCAAAAATGGGGAATGACATATTTTTAGGTTATCCTTCACAACAACTTTGTAATAGTAAAACCTTGTAGGGACCAGCAGATAGCATAACGGCTACGTCACTGGACTCCCATGTAGTCGATTGCAGTTTGAGTCCCAGACACAGTGGCTTCAACTCACACCAAGCACGTGCACATGTGTGTCCAAGATCCTGAGAGGTAAATTGAGGATGTGGACAGAAGTCTGACTACTTTTCCTATTTTTCCAGAATCTTTTCAAAAGGGACTAGGGAAGTCATGCCCACAAACATTAACAGACCATTTATTTTCTATTAACAGAATTCTTCCTATCTCCTGTCCCTGGCATAGTATCTTTGAGATGTATATTTCAATGGATTACAGTATATTCTTTTGCTTAACTCTTCCCAAGACACAGAACTTCCCTTTCCTTGAGATGTAGATTAAGCCTTTCTTTAACTAATCTCTTCCCAAGACACAGATCTTCCCTTCCAATCACCAACTTAAGAACTGTGAAACCCGGGAACCAGCAGTTAGCGTAATGGCTAACTGGATTCCCAAGTAGTTGACCGCAGTTCGCGTCCCGGACTCGGTGGCTTAGAACTCACACAGGGCGTGTGTGCGTGCCTGCCCAAGATCCCGAGAGGAGAATGGAGGAGAAGGGATTGCGGTGTGACCATCCCCCCTGGGGATGATTTCTCACTTTCTGTCTCTATGTCTCTGTCTGTCTGGCGAGCGCACACGCCCTGCTCAAAAAAAAAAAAAAAAAAGAACTGTGAAACCCACCCATAGCCTACAAGCCCCAACTTCTACATGTCCCACCTTTTTTGGGCCAGATCAATGGAAAATCTTTTCACTAAATGCTGTCTGTCAATCTCAAAAACGAATAAAAGGAACCCCTGTACATGATCACCCTGAGAAAGGCATGTATGCCTCTTTTCCGGACCTAGGTCACTCCTATTTTGGCTTGGAAATAAACCGTATTAATTATTAATTATTAATTTTACAGTTGGTTATTTTTCCGTCGACAAGGAGAAGGGATTGCAGCATGGCCATCCACCGGGGGTGGGGGGGTGATTTCTCACTTTCTGTCTCTCTGTCTCTCTGTCTCTCTCTGTCTTTCTGGCGAGCACATGCACCCTATAGGAAAAAACTCCCCCCCCCAAAAAATGTCCATCAATAGAAGCCAAGTAAAATATGGCATGATTCATCTACATAGCAGAATAGTATTTGGCACTCTAAGGGAGATGGAGTTCTCCATGTGTTGATACAAAACAATTTATAAGATATGTATTTAAGTAAAATAATGTAAAGGGCTTGTCTCTGACAAGGGCATGCACCCTCTGGCCAAAATAAGCCCAGTAAAATAAATCACAGTGGCCTACCATGTTGGGCCATGAGGGGAGGAATAGGCATAAAGTATTTTTTAAAAAGAGTTTCAGGGCTGTCACAGTATCCTGTGTTGTGTATTCCCGTATCATCTCATACAAAAAAATATTCCTGTATCTTCTCATACAACCAAAAGACTAAGGTAACATTGGGAAAGAAAAAGAAAGTAAACCCCATAAAATCCCAAACCACATTATTCCATGTGCATCTATGTAGAATTTAGGGCGTACATTCAAATAAGTGCCATGAATAATTGAAAAGTGGACTTTTCGTGACATTTTGTTTATTCACATATAATACAAATCGAATTCCACTAAAATAAACATGAGGAGACACTCTGCATACTGCAGTGATTATAGGAGAGTCTCACTGACAAAAATAAGAATTGCTTAAGACCAGGGCTCTGACTGGGACAAAGAAAGATTTTCATTACATACCAATTTCCCTCCAAACCCTTTTTCTGACCTTTATTTGATTCACTTTCTGATTCAGTTGTCATAGCTCTGGCTTGAAACAAGAAACATGAGCCTAATGTTTAGAATTCGCTATATTTACCATTTGGTTCTCAGGATTAAAAAGTAACTAATTTCTTGAGACCAGCAGATGGTGTATGGCTACATTGTTAGACTCCCACATGGTTGACTGCAGTTTGAATCTGGGACCCCGTGTCTTGGAAGGGTGTCTTGGAACTCACCGGGTGCATGTGTGTGAGTCCCCAGGATCCCAAGAGGAAAATGGAGGAGAGGGCATTGTGGCATGGCCATCCCTTCTAGGGGGTGAGTTCTTGCTTTCTGTCTCTCTGTCTCACTCTGACTCTTAGGTGACTGCACACATCCTATAGCAAAAATCTCTCTTTGGGGCCAACCATTGGCATAATGGCTATGTCACTGGATTCCCATGTAGTGGACCTCAGTTAGAGTCCCAGAGCCAGTGGCTTAAAACTCACTCCAGGCACATGTGCGTGTTTATCCAAGATCCCAAGAGGAGAATGGCAGAGAAGGAATTGCAGCTTGGCCATCCCCCCGAGGGGTGATTTCTTACTTCCTGTCTCTCTGCCTGATTTCTCACTTCCTGTCTCTCTGCTTGTCTTTCTGACAAGTGCACACGCAGTATAGCAAAAACCCCTTAAAAAAAAAAAAAAAAAAAAAAAGCTCTTAAAAAAAAACTAATTTTTTAATTGATTTAAAAACACAAAACCTGTATATTCTGCTCTACTCAAAATCCTTTTTCAGGCCTTGAGCCCCCTAGTCATCTCTGTTTCTAAGCATCAAGCATGGTGCTTGTTTAAATGAGTAGGTATTTGTTTAAATGAATTAACCCTGCCAGTCTAAGTGACAAATTCTCTGAAACTGGGTTTGAAATTAGCTAAGTAGAATGTCAAATTTAAAATATAACTTTATTCCAATTCAATAAGAAAATTTCAGAAATCATTTCAACAGATATTTCAAAAACTAGAAATCAACAGTCCTAAAACTGAAGATTTAGCATGGTATGTAATTTTACTATATTAGTAAAACACATTTTTGGATATATATCATTAAATCAGTGTAAGAGTAATGCCCCACAAAATGTTCAATATCAATCAAACCTAGATGGGACCAACATAAATGCTTCCAAATATACTGAAGTCAATCTGCTGTCTTCTGTAGGCAAAAATGCACCCACCATTCTAGAACTGAAGAAGATACACAAATCGTAGGTAGTCTCAGCTAAAATGCATTCAAGATTATTAACTAGAAAACAAATAAGACCACCATCTCTCCTAATTTACAAATCAGGTTAACCCAGGAAATTAGCTTGGCTTAATGATGGTTTAATATTATACACCGATGCAATCTAGGCCATCTTCAGTTAAGTGGCTTTTGAAAATGACTTAATCTTGCGTTAGTTTGAAAAGGGCCTCTGATGCAGGAAATGGCGTGGATGGTACTTAGATGCCACGATAAAGTACAGGCTCGAGGCGTTTGGGCATTAGATCCAAATTAGCTGGATGACTGGGAAGGTTGCCTAGGTGCTTACAGAAGAGGTCGGTCCTTAGAGAAATGCTGATGGCTGTGACCGTCTCCTTTCTTCAACGTCTACATCCCACAAAGTTGGCTGCTTTACAGGACGGCATTAAGTAAGAAGCTAAGGAGTGAGAGAAATCCAGTCTCTTGCCAGATTCCCCATGGCATAAGTAACAGCTGTAGCCATTAAGCAGCCACCAGGGGACGTAGTTAGAGCAACACCCCAAGTAGAAGACTGGGGTCAGGCAGCTGCGCCACAGAGACCAGAGCCAAGGCTAACAGGAAGTCCTCCAAGCAAGAATCCAGCCTCACGGCAGTGGCAAACACCTTTCTGGATCATGGTGGCCCGTATTTGAGAACCATAGTATGAGCACTCACGTGTCAATGCAAAAAGCCTGTGCCCTGTAAGCGCTAATCATGGTTTCTTCATATCAATAGTGTTGATGAAAACTGGAATTGGACCTATTTAGGAAATCCCATTTCGTATCAGGGATGTGCAGAAGAGCACCTAATCAGCAAGAATATTTACAGTTCTCCAGAAAGAAATGACTCGTTTTGGACACTACTGATTACTATAGATATCAAAAAACACCCCAACGAAAAGATTTATAACAACCTGATAGCCATAAAATACATATATTCAATACAGTTATGCTTTTTCCATGCTGCTACTGGGGGTCATCCAAGAAAGAGTTAAGTACATGTGGTCTTCAATTCGAATCAAAGGCAAGATATGATGTTAAACCACAATTTTAATATTTAAAACCATTTCTAAAAAAGAAAAAAAAATCCTCTTATAGTAAGATTTTCCCACCTACATAAGAATAAGCACGTGAGAATGATAGCTTTATGCAATTTCTTCAAAAGCAAAGGGAATTTTCTCTTCTTTTTAGGCTACTATTTGTTAGTCAAAGGATAATCATAAATCCTACTCATTCATCTCTATCTGCAAGAAATGTCTGGATTTCTTTACTTCCAAGAGAATCCCATGTTCAGTGAAAACCAGATCAGTAAATAGCATTACCTATATGTGTGCATGGAAGAGTATGACTTGAAATGAAATATAACAGTATACCTCTTAAAATATCTATTAATATTTAATAGATATTCTAGAGAAGAAAATGCTTTTAGGAAATAAAAATTAGTTAGAAGTTAGACCTAATAAGCATTGCGTGAACAGCTTGAGTCCCAAGTATAAACGATGATCCACAAAAGTTATGAAAACCTTAAAAAGGGCTAAATGTGCGTGCGCACAGTAGGCATTACTAGAGTTACCACCATCCTTTGAGGAAGTCTTAGAAGTAGATGTTTCATTTCAGTTGTCACATTAAAAACAGATTCATCATTGGTCCAGCTATGGCACTTCACTACCTAATTTTGAAGCCATATGGGAAGTCTCTGGGCTTGAATCCCAGGTCCATCTGAATGTACCTGGCATGCTTGTAGGTATGCATATGATCCTGGCCGGCTGTGGAAAGGGTCAGGGCATAGTAAGTCTTTGTCAGAGGTCCCTGTCTCCTCCTTAACCTCAACAAATAAATAGATTGAGACCAAAGCTTGACAAAAGGACCCTGATATTTCAAAAAAGTAAGTACAAGTTAAATCTTTGTCCTGTTTAATCACATTCCCCATAGGTGACATACCTCTGTTTTTAAAGACAGTCCACTGTTAAAGAATATTGTTGCAACAGCAATGTAGGATACAGTTATTTCTGGCTTCAGTGGTCCTGAAAAGAGAGGAAAGAGTTATTATTAGAAGAGAATGTTCAGGAGATAATTTGGTATGAAAGAAAAATCTACTGAAGAATAATAAAGGTACTTCGAATAGTAGTGTTGCCCCTAGACTTCTACTGTACTGAGAGAGTTAGGCATTTGCTAGGACCCAGCCTAACTCCACAGGGGGTTTTCCAGAGAGCAAGGCTGTCAATTTAGAGCTGTATCTATCCTCAGACCAGAAAAATTAAAACACACACACACACACACACACACACACACAGGAGAGGTGATAAACAACATCCTTAAATATAGGTCCCAATAATATCTACCACATATCAGTGATTACGTAACAATCAAAATACCCCCAAGCCCAAATCAACGGAAGAAATTCCCTCCTCTTTAGCAAATATATTTTTAATTGCCAGAGGGTGTGAGTACTCACCATAGAGAGACAAGAAACAGAGAGAGAGGGAAAAAGCACCCCCAATGGGGTGTGGTCACACTGCAGTCCCTTCTCCATTTCTCCATTCTGTCAGGATCTGGGGCATGTACACATCAGGGCTCGGATTCAAACTGTGGTCAGCCATATGGGATCTGCTTCTCTTAACTATGAGGCTATGGGGCTGGCCACAAATATTATTTTATTCCTTCTAGGTTATGCATGCATTCAATTATGCCCAAGAGTATTCATTCTGCCAATATTTATTGAGTACTCACTATGTGATTGAAATAATGCATATAAAGTAATTAACAATATACTGCAATGACACAGCAAAAGAAATAATTAATAGAATTGGGGCCAACGGGTGGCATGGTGATTAAGGTACTGGACTCTCACATGGCCGACAGTGGTGTGAGTCCCAGACCTGGTGACTTGCTTTCCCACTTCCCTTTCTCTCTGTCTATCTCTGGTCAAAATTTTAAAAAATAATAATAAGTAAAATAAAACAAATAATTTTTTAAAGGAAACAATTACTGGGACCAGCAATTAGTGTAATGGCTATGTTGCTGAACTTCCATGTAGTAGACCGTGGTTTGAGTCCTGGACCTGGTGGCTTAAACTCACACCGGGTGCGTGTGCATGCGTGCTCAAGATCCCCGAGAGGAGAATGGAGGAGAAGGGATTGCGGCGTGGCCATCCCCCCTGAGGGGAGGGGTGATTTCTTGCTTTCTGTCTCTCTGTCTCTCTCTTTCTGGCAAGCGCACGTGCCCTATACCAAAAAACACACAAACAAACAAAAACAAACAAACAAACAAACTTTAAAATAAATAAATAAAACAATTACTAGAATAAAGAGATAAAGAGACAGCCCACAGATTGGGAGAAAATAATTGTAAATCACACATTGAATGAAGTACTAATATCTAAAGTATATAAGGAACTCCAACTACTTAATAACCAGAACACAGCCCTATTAAACAAGAGCCAGCTGACTCTGTGGCCTAGTGGTTAAGATAACTGGACTCCACATGACTGACCACACAGATTGAGCCCAGACCCAGCAGCTAGGAGAAACATGCCAGGCACATGTGCACATATGCATGCCAAAAATGCCAAAAGGAGGGAGAAATGGATAAGAAGAAATTGCAGTGTGACCATTCCTCAAAGAGGGTACTTTCTCCTTTCCCCAGCTCTCCCTGTCTCTCTGTCTCTCTCTACAAAAACACACACCCTCTAGTAAAATAGATAAATAAATTTAAAAATGAGCAAAGGACTTGAATAGACTTTTCTCAAAAGAAGACAAGAAAACAACTAACAGGACAATGCTCAACATCTCTAATGAGCAGAGCGATGGAAATGAAAGACAACTAGGTATTGTCTAATACCTCTTAGATTGAAAATTATCAAAAAGATGAACAATAACAAGTGTGGTAAGGATGTGGAGAAAAGTGAACTCTTATACTTTGTTGATGGCATAGCAAATTAGTACAGTCATTTTACAAAACACTATAGAGGGATCTCAAAAAACTAAAACTTGGGACCAGCAGGTGGCGTGGTGGTTATGGCGCTGGACTCTCCCACATGGCCAACCGTGGTTTGAGTTCCAGACCTGGCAGCTTGCTTTCTCACTTTCCCTCTCTCTCTCTTTGTATGTCTCTCTAGTCAAATTAAAATAAATGAATGTATAAATACAAATAAATAAATTATTATTTTTTCAAAATAATAAAACTAGACTTACTTAATGACCCCACAATCCCACTACTTAAACCCAAAGAAAGTTAAATCAAAATGCAGAAGAAATGTCTGCATTTCCATGATCATTGCCTCATTAGTCACAACAGCCAAGATGGGAAATAACCTAAGGGTACAACAACAAATGGATGTATTTAACAAATGTGGGATCTATACACAATGGAATCCTACTACTCAGCCTTAAAAAATAGGAAAATGTCATTTGTGACAAATGGATGAACCTAGAAGTTACTACACTAAGTGAAATAAGCTAAGCACAGAGAGGTAAATACTGTATGATCTCTCTTACATATGAATGACAAAAAGTCAAAGTCATAGAATTCTCCAGCTAGAATTAGAGAGTAGCATGGTGGTTATTAGAGACTAGGGAGTAGGAAGGGTGTAGACAGGGGAAGGGAGATGGTCAGCAGGTGCAAAGTTTCAGTTAGATAGGAATAATAAGTTCTGATGTTCTATTGCACAGTACGGTGACTATAGTTAATAACACATTGTGTATTTTTTTTCCTTCAATTCCCAGAGGGAGTGTGCACTTGCCATAGAGTAACACAGAGAAAGAGAGACACACAGAGAAAGTACCCACAATGAGGCCGGGTAATACCAAAATCATTTCTCCATTTCTTCATCCCGTCAGGATTTTGGCATACACATGCCCAGCGTATTTTTAAGCCATAAGGGCAAGATTTTGAATCTCTCTCAGACTCATGGGATTCAGCTTCCCTAACACTAAGCTATGGGGCTAGTTCTTCATTGTGTATTTCAAAATAACTAATAGAGAGGAGTTAATTAGGCTGGCATCACCACAAACATGTTAACACTGCAAGGACCATAGGTGCCACCCTAATAGTTAAACTATCATTTGTGACAGGATTGGCCAAAGGACCTACTGTGCTATCCAAAGAACATCTTTTAAAAGGTACATCTCTGAGAAAAAAATTAATAATAATAACCATCTTATACCTGCATAGCAGAGGTTCTCCAATTTCGACCTGCCTGGAGTCTATCTAGCAATGTGTAGAACTTTATTTTAGGAATACTACTGGCATCTACTGGGTAGAGATCAGGAATTCTGCTCAACATCCTGAAAATGCAGGGCAGCCCCGCCAACAACAAATGATCACACCCAAGATGATAATGGTGCCAAGGCTGAGGAAGCCTGGTGTGTATTTGACGTCCTAACCCATTCCCTTGTACTGATTTGGGCAGTGTCCTGTGAAAATTCTTAGACTTTATTTAAAACAGGGTCTTTATGGATGTAATCAAGTTAAAATGAGGTCTTACTGGATTAAGGTGCTGACTAACCTAATAACTGGTTTTCTTACCAGAAGAGAGAAATTTGGACACAGACACACACAGAGGGAAGATGGCCACGTGAAGAGAGAGCCAAAGACTGGTGTTATATGGCCCCAACCCAGGGTTGGCAAGGATTGCTGGTCAGTAACCACCACCACATGCTAGAAGAGGCAAGGAGGGATTATTCCTCAGAACCTTTGGTGGCTCATCTTTGGTCCATCTTGACCTCAGGCTTCTAGCTTCTGCAGTGATGAGCAAATACATTCCTATCATTCTAAGCACTCGGTTAGTGGCGTTGGCTCCAGCAATCCTAGCCAACAAATGTATCCCCTTAAGTAAATCAACAGGACTACAATCATGGCTCTTCCATCGCCAGAAACTCTGCACTCTATTTACACATGGTGCTCGATAAATAGATGGAAGACCAAGTCCAGGAAAAACCACCATTCATTCGTTCAGCAACATGTCCCAAGGACCTACTATGCCTTAGGCATCCGTAGTACAACAATGAAGAAAAGAAGCAAAGGTGCCCTCAAAGCCTGCAATAAATTATTTTATATACTATTTACACAAATTATTGGCCGAGATGTGAGAGGAGGGAGCAAACGGGAGAAGGCGAGCGCCAAAGGCAATGTGTTTGGGGACAGCAGAGTGTTCAGACTTTTAAAAAGAGGCTCATTATTTTCACACGTGAGTGAGTCTGTCTTCTGCAGTTCATACTTAGAACTCATATTTCTTCGGCAGCAGAGGAGGGTGATTCAGGAGCAGATTTGAAGTCAAGGAATCTGGCTTATTTTGGAAATAGATGACTGCTAGGAATTTTTAATACCCTGATGTATGTGTGTGCGTGTGTGTGTTTTAAATCATCTTTTTTTAAGTCTTTATTTCCTCCGTAAGCAGCAGAAAGGGAAAGAATGATGAGAGACAGTCACCAGGGTCATCGGGGTCTCCACTCTGTGATCTACCCCCAGCCTCAACCAGCCCTAGATCATGGGCATGCATTCCTCTGGCATGTTTAGTCAAGGCTTACATTCATAACCCTCCCCTGTGGGTCAGCCTTACAGTGTACATAAAAACATCCATGTCTTTAAAGCATGTCGCTTTTATCTTCTTCCAATCCCCTGCTTTCCATGAGCCCTTACTCTTGTCCATTATAATTGTATCCACCACGGGGCCTCCAGATTTTCTGTGTAGGTGGGGTTAGGTAGCAATATGGTTTCAAATGTGAGCCAGGAGGCATGTTGAAAGATGCATCTCTGTAGCAAGCAAGTGGTGTTTATTTGGATAGCATGTCTCTCTGGGGTAGCTGAAGCATGTACTGCAATCCACCAACAGCTTTACTTTTTTAAGATGCTAACTCTTGGGGCCAGCAGATGGTGTAATGGTTAGGTTGCTGGACTCCTACATAGTAAACTGTGGTTCAAGTCCTGGACCCAGCAGCTTAAAACTCACACCAGGCACATGTGCATGCATGCCCAAGATCCTGAGAGGAGAACGGAGGAGAAGGGACTGTGGTATGGCCAACCCTCTCGCCTGGGAGGTGATTTCTCACCTTCTTTCTCTCTCTCTCTCTCTCTCGCAAGTACACACACTCTGTAGCAAAAAAATATCTCTCAATTAAAAAAGAAACTTAAAAATAAAGAAGCTAACTCTTCTTATGCCTCACACCTACATAGAAGGAGGTCTTCAAAAAGTTCACAGAATACGTACTATGAAGAAACCACATGTGGATTTCAAAATGTTTTGCACTAAATGAATTTGTACTTTAATTTTTCCACTTAGTTTTTAATTCTCCTCATGCATAAAGACACATAACTATTGACTAATTGACCTAATTCAGTAGAGTAATTCCTGATAGGGTATCCTGTTCTTTGTATTAGGCACACAGCAAAATAACTCTAATCCACAAAAGAACACAGTGAAGATATTCCAGGGCTACCAACAGCGTAAGGAGGAAAGAAAAATTCATTTTGATTTAGAGAAACCAGAGAGAGGCATAATCAACTGAGAGGCTAAGAGACTGCCTAAATTGGAAATGCAGAACTAGCAGTCACCCAGGACTACAATAAAACAGTGGTAAATATTTGCATATAGGTGAGAGTTGGAACTGAGATATAAAAAAAATGGTATTTGCTCCCTCCCAAAGCTACACCTAGTCATTAAAGTGGAATGGAAAAGCACAATCAAAATTAGTCAGAAATACAAAAACAAAAGCAAGCAGCAGCAAATTTTGGCTCCAAATTCTATGCCTTATCATTGGAAGCAAGAGAGAAAATGTCTTGGAATACGTAAGAATGCAAGGAGCTATTATCATGCCATAAAAGCCACTGATCACCAAAGTAAATTTCACTTTCACACCTCATCTAAAGTATTCTGAGATAGTCATGCAAACATACTTCAGCTTATACCCTATTCCAGGTTGTTTTCAATGGGAAAACAAAGCACTTTCCTTTTAGAATTACTGCCTTATCAACAGCAATCATTGAAGCCTGCAGGTGGAAATGAGAAATGTACTCTGTATTTCTAAAGAAGGAAACTTTTCTCTCCCTGAGAAAGAATAGCACAGTGTTGAACTCTACTCATCAACACCTCAGAACCGGCATGTTACATCTACTATGGCTTTTTATTTTCAACTTTCTTCTATAAATTTAAATATGAAATGGAACAGTAAAAAACAAACAAGCAAAAACAGTGAACTAAAAATTCAGTGATCTAAGCTATAAGTATCTGTTATGCTTTTTCCCAATTATAAAGTCATTCAACTTCTCTAATTTTAGGATTCCCCAATCTACTCATGTCCTGCCATACTAACTTAAAAATGGCCACAGATATATTTTTAAGGGAAGTCAGAAGATGCAGAAGTGCGATTCTTTTTTTCTTTATTGTCAGAGGATATGTGTGCCCACCAGAAAGAATTAGAAAGAGAAAGAGAGAGAGAGAGAAAGCAATCCACATAGGCATGGCCACACCACAATCCCTTCTCCTTCACCTTTTCTCCCATCAGGATGTTGGGCACACATGCACTCCGTAACTATGATAGTTTAAGTGCGGACGTCTCACATTTTAAAATAGAATTTAGTCACTAAGTTATTAATCTAGGTAAAGGAGAAGTAGCATCTTAACAAATTGAAAACTACCAAAACTTTGCCTATTTAAAAGACTGTTTAGAAAATTGTTCAACTTGGGACCAGCCGAGGGCATAACGGCTACGTTGCTCCCATATAGTCAACCATGGTTCCAGTCCAAAATTTGGAGGCTTTAATTTCCCGCCAGGCGCATGCGCGTGCGTGCCCAAGATCCCAAGAGGAGAATGGAGGAGAAGGGAATGCGGAGTGGCCATGCCCCCTGGGGGGATGATTTCTTGCTATCTGTCTCTCCAGGGAGTGCACGTACCTTACAGCAAAAATCTCTCTCAAAAAAAGAAAAGAAAATTGTTCAACTGAAAATTGTCCAGTTGATATGAATGCATTGAAAATCATTTTCCGGGCCGGTTGGTGGTGTGGTACTTAAGGGAATCAGATCTCACACAGTCAATTCCCCAGTTTGAGTCCTGAGACTGGAGGCCTGAACAACACTCTGTGCACGTGTGTGTGCCCAAAACCCTGACAGGGAGGAGAAATGGAGGAGAAAGGATGATGGCAGACCGTTCCCCATAGGAGGTGCTTTCTCATTCCCGCCAAACTCTGTCTGTCTGGCAAAAAAGAAAAAAAGTTAACAATCATTTTCTCAGTATACAAAGCCTGTACACAGAAACTTGTGACAAAAAGTCACAGGCCAAAAAGTACATTAGACTATTCTAAAGAGCAGGATAAGACAAACATGTTCAGCAGCCAGCCCTCTCCTTGTTCCTGGATATTTACTGTTTGAACTAGTACGTGAAGGCGTCATCTGGTACTACAGGGGGGTTTCTTTGTATTTAAGAGGTTTTACAAATGGGAAGTCAATAAAGATCAACATAAGTATCAAGAACACAATCTGACAGTGTGTACAGGAAATCACAAAGTTTAACTTTGTTTTCAGAAAAAGTAACTTTCAGACCTAGAGGAGGAAATCATACAAGACCACCGCTGTTCAATATTGGTTGATTTTGTTGAGCCAGCAGGTAGTGTGGTGCTAAAGGTGCTGGATTCCCACATGGCCGACTGTGGTTTGAGTCCCAGACCAGGCAGCTTGAAAATCATGATGAATAAATACATAAATGTTTCATACATAAATATGTACATACACACACACACATATGTATCTATATAGTTGAATGTATAGATATGCATATTCTGTATATATATTTATATATACATATGTATGTGTATGTATGTGTGTGTGCATATATATATACACACACATACAGTATATATATATATATGGAATTGGGGGCCAGCAGGTGGTGCCGGACTCAGACTAGTGAAAATGAGAAATGATATTTGAGATACAATAATGTACCAAAATGCCAATAATCAGAGTCCAAGGGAACAAATACTACTACAGAATTTTAGTCAGCTTTAGTGGTAATGCTTAGGTCACATGGAAAGATTCCAGGTTCAAGTCTTGATGTCTCTATATACAAGGAGTACATATATGCACCGGTGACCCAGGCTGACTGAGGCTGTAATATGATTGAGGGATAAAGACTTTGTGGAAGGGACCAGCAGATGGCATAATGGTTATGTCACTGAACTTCCATGTATTCAGCCGGTTCGAGTCCTGGACCCGGTAGCTTAGAACTCACATTAGGCGCCTGTGTGTGCATACCCAATATCCCAAGAGGAAAATGGAGGAGAAGGGATTGAGGTGTGGCCATCCCCCCCGAGGGGTGATTTCTCGCTTTCTGTCTCTCTGTGTGTCTCTCTCTCTCTGTCCGGCAAGGGTAGGCACCCTGTAGCAAAAATCTCTCAAAAAAAAAACCCTAGAAACAAAAAAACACTTCTGCCTCTCTTTTTCTTCATCCTTTCTCTCATGACAGAAATAAATAAAAAGCAAACAAAGATTACATAATCTATCTTATATATGACTTTTCAGGAAGCTCTAGAGAAATGATTAGATTCTATCACCTTCCTTCCCATGGAGTAATAAGGGATTTCGCCAAACCTAGCCCTGCAGATTTAACCTTAAAGATCACACTCAATTTCACCCCAAACTGAGTGAATAAAAGATCTAACACTAGAAGCGATAATTAATGAGGTATGCATTACAGATCACCACTAAGATATTCTAGTTCTTACTATTCAGTGAGCTCCAGGGACAGAAGGGGAATCCTCTTTTGACAGAACCTGAAATACCAGGCATCACAAGAATTTCCCAAAAGCTCACAGAGAAGGCACGTCAAAGAAGAAATGAATATCTTCAGACAGAGACCCAGGAGGAACAACAGCTTCATTCTCAGTTAAATATATTTTTTGTACTGAGTTGACTATGGAAAGAAAAAATAATTTAACGAAAAAAGCTTTAATTGCCACCACCTTTCTTTAAATAGTTCCTTTCCAATTATTCCTAGAAGCTACTTCTACATGAAAAAATTGAGAGCGGAGAGAAGGAACCCTGTTCTTCTGAGAGATCATTTCTTTCGCTTCCATCATGTGTTAGCAAAAAGGAACAAATAATTCCAAATATCCTCCTGAGCACATCCTACCATGAAGAGAGTGTGTGTCCACTTCTGTCCTTACACGTCCTTCTGGCATGACTTACATGCATTAAGCCTGCCAGTGAACTGGGAAACTGACCAACAAGGTCAAAAAGAATGAATTGAAAAAAGTCAATTCATGTCTAAGAAATGTAGGACAAGACTGTCAAAGGGTGGGGAGGGAGGTGCTTAAAGGCATATTTCCAGTGCCCCCACCAAGACACGCCCTCCGAACGACAAAGCCCCCAGTATTCCGAGATTTAAGAATGTTTTCGGCCCATCTACCTTTCCTTGCCAAAATACACACTGCCCATAGCCTAGCCCAGCGTGCAGGAGCTGAGCCCGAGCAGCACACGGAAGTAGCTCCTGTAATGAAGGAGTGCAACGTGTCAGTCGGCTTGGGAGTTTCTGGAGCGGCAGCAAACGCAGCAAATCATCCCTCTCCAACGTGTGGGCCACCAAATGTGAGCTGGGGGCGGGGGATGTCCTTTTCCATTATTTAGTTTTTTTTTTTAAAAAAAAAACGTGGGAAAGGAGGACTTGAAAACAGACTAAAGAATGAGGTCCACTCCCAGGGAGATAAGGAACTCCTGGCAACGTAGAGTCCCTAGGGATAGGATGCTACTTTGCAGGCTAGAGTAAGTTTCCTTCTCTGTAACCTCACTCTTGGACACAGGGAGTCCTTGATTGTTCGCGTCAAAGGCGACCCGCGCTCAAATGCCTTTGCCCGGTTCCTAATGGCAAGTCCCCTCTGAGGTTAGCAAATGGGGAAATCAGCGGAGGAGCCAAAGGGGACCCGCCGGAATGCTCCGTGTCCCCGGGAGGCGCAGGCACTGGCCAGTTAGGGTCGCCCCTCCTTCCCGAGACTCGCAGCGGAGTTGGGAAGTGGGAACCCCTGGGGAGCGGGCGGCGGCGCGGCACTTACCCCCGTTCACCCCTATGGACGGCTGCAGCTTGGCTCCGGCGATCGCCAGCACGATCCCGACCATGAACCATTCTTTCCTCATTCTCTCCAGCAGCCTCATGTTTGTTAGGGTGGGTGCGTTTTGTTTATTTGTTTGGTTTTTTCTCTTTCCAAGCTGCGAGCGCTTAATCCCCGGGGCGTCTCCACACTTTCCGCGGTCCCTCCAGACATGCAGCAGAGCAAGTCAAATTGCCACTTGTAAACTAAAGACCAGGGGGTTGCTCCGGCGGCTTTGAGGAGGGCTGGGAGTAGTAGTATCCAGTGACAGGAAAGTCTCACTGAGCGCCGCCATCACTACCACGCACCACCTAATAGGCGCGCATCTCGCCCCCTGCAGCTCCGGCAGTGGCTCCCACGCGCGGATGCTCTGAAAGGGCTACTCGGGCCAGGCAAGCAGGAGAGAGCGATCGGAGGAGAGAGGGTGGCCATAAGCGTCTTAAGGCGCCACGGCCAGCCAGTCTTGTCGAGGGTCCCGTTCCAACAAGCCTTGAGCCTCAGCCGCCCGCCGGCCTGGGGCACATGCCCACCGGGAATCTCTCGGTTGCTCCGCCAGGAGCCCGCGGAAGGGCCGGCATGCGGGTAGAGCAGGGATTCCTCTGCTGGGTCTGCGGGATTCCTCTCCTGGGTCTGCGGGGGCGGGGAGCAGGGTTTCCTGCGGCGCGCTTCTTCTAGCCATTACGACGCTTCCAGGACGCCAGGGTTGACGCGTGCGCGGCGAGACCGGGAGGCAGTCCACCGGCTCCAGATCCCCAGTTTGAGCTGCTGCTAGACGCGCGTGGCGCTCGACGCGGGAAAGCGGCTCCCGGGGGCGGGAAGCTTGAGCCCCGAGTTGGAGCTGGGGAGTATTGAACCCTGGACACTGAGCAGACAAACAAATTCGCAGGATCCTCGCCTTCCAGCGCCCACTGCAGTGGGAGGAAGGCGGGCCAGACCCCCTCCCGGGTCAGCCCTGCACCCGGCCTGGTTTGACTGCTAGGGTGCCCGCAGAGCTTCCTTGGGGGGTGCGAAGGGCTCAAAGCCGCACCCCACCGACAAAGCTCCCCGAGTGCAGAATGGGGTCTGAGCTGGGGAGTCCGGAGGGCGCGCGGGGTCGTCTCTTCCTTGACCCCCAGGCCCGCCTAGACCCCTGGACGGATCTGGACAGGGGATCAGGGACCTGGCGAGGGGTGAGGGGTCTGTCCCCCGCTGCCCTTCCCCGGGTGCCAAGTTATCTCTCTTCAGTTTCTCCTTTGAACTGTTGCCTGGCGACCAGTGACTCTGGTAGTTTCACGAATGCACTTTCCACAGGTAGACCTTAGGGCAGCACCAACTCCTCCCTGTTAAATCTTCCAAATAAAGAGAAAAAGACAACATTCTGTGACATTCTGGAGTATTCTGGCATCTGAAATTTAAATGGCACTTAAGGTTTGGGAGGGATTGTTTCCTAGTGCCAGACTTTAATTCTTAATTTATTCCAAGCTTGAAAGAGACTCATCCTGTAATTTACGCTGCGTAGTTAGCTTTATCTTCGTATGACGTGACTTGCTCTCCAAACTAAACTGCTTTAAGCAGTTGTGCTAGCAGTTGTAGGTTACACGTACGGAGTGTCAGCTAATGATACATCAGGCAGCATAAAGAAAAGTTAATCTCAAGATAAAAAGAACTTAATCGAGAGACACTGATGACATTAAACAATTTACCCTGAAAAGAGAGAAACGCATGCGGTGTGATAAACTCTGATGTTAATTATCAGGCAGTCAGGAAATAAGCGAAGATACATGAAAGATAGTTTACAACACAATTATTTTCCTATAGTAATTTCTCTCTAGCTTAAAGAATCATACATCTCAGTCACCAAAGGGAGGCTGTTGTACTAACAGAGCACTAAACACCATGTTTACAGAAATCCAGTCAGTTAAACTTTATGGCTGTTTACAAATTCCTATGTACTAAGAAAGCTTTGATCTGTTTAGAGCAAAAGCTAATCCATGAAAAGACATTTTTGTTTTGTTTTTTGTTTTATTCCCTTTTTGCTGTAGAGTGCATATGCTCACCTGAGAGAGACAGAGAGAGGTAGACAATGAGCAATCGCTCTGTAGGGGGGATGGCCATTCCGCAGTCCCTTCTCCTCCATTCTTCTCTTGGGATGTTGGGCATGCGTGTACATGTGGCTAGTGTATTTTTCAAGCCAAGGGGTCTGAAACTCAGACCATGTAGTTGGGCATGTGAGATCCAGCCACCTTAACCTCCATGTCACCTGCTGGCTGGCCTTTTGTTTTGGTTTTAATGATACTAAAAGGAAAGGAATGCAGTACACTGTGAATTCTGTGCTGTTAAAGCTTGTATTAGTTTGCCGCAGCTGCTGTAACAAAACTGGATGGCTACAAACAACAGAAATTTATTTGCATGGTCTGGAGGCCAGAAGTTCAAGATGTTTGTAGGATCTCACTCCTTCTGAAGGCTCTCTGGGAGAATTCTTCCAGTTTCTGGTGACTGCATTCATTGGCTTGTGGTTATAGTGCTCCAATTTCTGCCTCTTCACATCACATTCTCCCTTGTGTATCTGTCTAGTGGCCAGATCAGTCTCTGCATTCATCTTCACATTGTTCCTCCTCTGCCACTCTGCCTTCTTCTCTTTATAAAGACACTTGTCATTGGATTTAGGACCCATCTGGATAATCCAGAATGGTCTCATCTAGAGATCTTTAATAATATCTTTTAAAATCCCTTTTCCAAAGTAGTTCATTATGCTGTGTTCAATAGTATCCTTCAAAGATTCACCTCCTGGAGCCCCAGAATTTTACCTCAGTTGGAAATCACATCTTTGCAGATGTAATTAGTTAAAATGAGGTAAGATGGGATTAAGGTGGATCTTAAATTCAGTGACTGGTATCCTAATAAGAAGGCCATGTGGATTCACACACGGCCAACCACAGTTCGAGTCCCAGACCCAGTGAGTCAGGCCAGACGCATGTGCCTGTGTGCCCAAGATCCCAGGAGGAAAATGGAGAAGAAGGGATTGCAGTGTGGCCACCCCCTCTGGGGAGTGATTTCTCATTTTCCTCTCACTGTCTCTTTCTCTCTCTCACGCACATGTACCCAGCATGAGTTTTAAGCTGCTGGGTCTGGGACTCGAACTGCACTCAATTACTTGGAAGTCCAGTGACATAACCATGATGCCATCTGCTGATCCCCATCTTTGTGTTTTGAACAAATACTGTGCCTCCATTGTATGCTAGACATGTTTCAGGTGCTGGACATTCGATAGTGAAAAAAAAAAAAAAAAAAACCTCCCACAGAGTTTATAATCCAGTGGAGGAAATGGATGTAAGCAATTTGGAATTTGTAGATTGAAAAGAGTAGGCTAGGGGGTCAGAGGTGACAAGGTGGTTAAGACACTGGACTACCACATGGCCGACAGTGGTTTGAGTCCCATACCTGGCAGCTTGCTTTCTAACCATCTCTCTCTCTCTCTAGTGAGCGCATGTGTCCTATAACAAATTTTTAAAATAATAATAATAAATAAATAAAAACAAATAAATAATTCTTTTTTTAAAAAAAAGGAAAAGAAAAGAGCAGATATTGTGAGTTAGCTAGATTGGAGAAAGTGTCCCTGATAGCTGAAGAAGGAACAGACAGGCAGGTGAGAGAAGGCTGTAACTCAGGGAAGGGAGAGCTGGACACTCCGTGGAACTGGAAGACCATGGTGAGCAGACCAGTTCAGAGCAGTGGGAAAGGTGGGGGGCTGGACAGGACACAGATCTACGTGAAATCTCTCATGTTGTCATAAAGGACTTAGAAGTTATGCAGTATCATAGAAAGCCACTAAAGGATTTTAAACTAGCAAGTAACATGCCCAATTTTGTTAACGTGATTTTTAAATGTATATAGCATTGAGGTTTACTTTTTTTCTCTTTAAATTTGCTATATGGTGCATGTGTTCACTGGAGATAGACGGGGTAGGGAGAATGAGAAAGTACCTCCCAGGGGTTTGGCCACAATCTCTTCATCTCCATTCACTCTGGACTCTGGGCATGCATGCACATGTGCCCAGTGTGTTTTTCAAGCCACTGGGTCCAGGACTCAAACTGAATAGTCAGTCATGTGGGGTCCAGCCACCTCAACCATTACACTATATATTTTTAAAGTTTATTTATTTCTTCCATGAGTGAGTGAGAAAGGGAGAGAGATACACCTTCGATGAGGTCTTGATGCCATAGTCCACCCCCAGCCCCAGCAGCCCCGACTGTGCACTCTTACCACATGTGCATGAGAACATGCCTGGATACAAACTGGAACCTTCCCTGTGGGTCAGCCTCGCAGAGCATTGTGTATGACCTCTGTGCTACCACAAGGCCCCGAGGAGATTATTTCAGAAACAACCTATGGACAAATCGTTCATAAAGAAATAACTAAGACAATGGAACTGGAAAACACAATCAGTCTAAAAACTGTTAAGCAGGGAGAATCAAAAATAAATTACCATTAAAATATAGGGGAACAGAAGGGAAGTCTAAAATGACTCCCAGCGATCTGTCCCATTCCCTCAACCAGAAAAGCTTCACAAAGTTGTTTTGGGGAAGGATCTTAATTTCAGTTTGTACAGCTTGAGTTCAGAGTCCACTGGGGCATGTCAAGAGAGCTGTCCGGGGTGCAGGTAAATAAAGGTTCATTTCATGAGAACGGGATCGGCTCACAAGGGAGCTCTGGGATTCTTCCAGCAACTGTAGGGGTTGTTGATTTTGCAAAATGTAGTAGATGTCTGCTTTTTGATAGTTTGCTAGAGGGTACTTACACTTGCTGGAGGGGACAGAAGAGAGAAAGCACCCCTTATGGGGGATGGTCATACCACAATCCCTTCTCCTCCATTCTCCTCTCAGGATACTGGGCACTGGGCACAAATGTCCAGTATGTTTTTCAAAGCCACTAGGTCTGGGACTTGAACCTCACAGTCAGTAGTGTGAGATCCAGCAGCCTTAACCACCACACCACCAACCGATCTGATATCTACATTTTTTTTTCTTTTTTTTTGAGAAGTTTTTGCTATAGGGCATGTGCGCTCGCCAGAAAGACAGAGAGAGACAGAGAGACAGAAAGCAAGAAATCACCCCCCCTCCCAGGGGGGATGGCCATGCCACAATTCCTTCTCTATTCTCCTCTCAGGATCTTGGGCACGCATGCACACGCGCCCGGCGTGAATTTAAGCCACCAGGTCTGGGATTCAAACCGCGGTCGACTACATGGGAGTCCAGCGACATAGCCATTGTGCTAACTGCTGGTCCCCTGATATCTACATTTTAACC